GAGGGATTGATGGGGATGGGAGGTTTTAATGTGTTTTGAGATTGTATAATGGGGAGGGGTGTTAGTATAGAAATGGAAAGGGGTTAGTGGTTGGGAGGGTGGTGGGGGAAAATGTAGAATGGTTTTGATGGAGGTTGGGTGTATGGTTGGGGGTTTGGGGTGGGTTGTGTGAGGTGGGGGAGTTGTGTGTTGGGGTGTTTGGTTTGGGGGTTTGTGTGGGTTTGGATTTTGGGTGTGAAATGGGTATGTGGATAGTGATGGGGGTGTAGAGGGTGATAGAGGATAAGGTTGAATGGATAGAGATAGAAAATAAGGAGAATAAATAGAGATAGTGGTATGGAAGGGGGAGGATTTTATAGTAGAAGAGGTGAGAATTGATAGTTTGTGATTATGAGAATAGATTGTGATAAGAAGATAGGGGGTATATATATATAATTAGATGTAGGAGTGTATAGGGTATGAGAGTAGAAATATATAAGTATATAGATTGATAGTGATTGTTTTTGGATGTTGATGGTGTGGTAGTGTTATGGTGGGTGTGGTTGGTATTGTTGGTTTTATGAGTTATGTTGTGGTGGTTTGATCTATTAGATATAGTATGGAGTATTAGATAGATGAGGAAGTTTTATGGAGTTAATGGTATGTTTGAGGTGTTATATTTTATGGGATATTTGAGATGGGGGGTTTATGGAGGGGATAGGGGGGGGGTTAGAGATAGTATGATGTGGGGGGTGGGGGGGGATGTGAGATATATAGAGGTATATAGGAGATAGAGAGAGATATTAGATATTATAGATTTATAGAGATAGTGTAGGAATATAGAGATAGGAGAGGGGAGAGAGAATGAGTTTATAGGGGGAGTATGAGAGAGGATAGAGAGTGTTATAAGAGTATATAGGAAGAGTATATAAGGAAGAGTAATAGGAAGAGTATATAGGAGGTATATAGAGATATATAGGAAGATATATAGATAGTATATAGAGATATATAGAAGATATATAGGAGATAGATATATAGAGAGTATATAGAGAGAGTATATAGGTAAGAGTATATAGGAGATATATAGAGAGAATATAGAGAAGGAGTATATAGAGAGTATATAGGAAGAGATATAGAGATTATATAGAGAGTATATAGAAAGAGTATATAGAAGAGTATATAGAGATATATAGAGAAGTATATAGAGAGAGTATAATAGGAGATATATAGATAAGATATATAGAGAGTATATAGAGATATATAGAAGTATATAGAGATATATAGAGTAGATAGTAAGAGTATATAGGAGATATATAGAATAGAGTATATAGGAAAGAGTATATAGAGAGTATATAGAGGATATAGAAGATATATAGGAAGAGTATATAGAGAGTATATAGATAGAGAATATAGAAGAGTATATTAGGAAGAGTATAAAGGAAAGAGTATATAGGGAAGAGTATATAGGGAAGAGTATAAAAGGAAAAGTATATGAAGAGTAATATGGGAAGATGTATATAGAAGAGTATATAGAAGAGTATATAGAATATTATATAGACGAGTATAAGGGAAGAAGTATATAAAAGAGTAATAGAAAGGTAAATAGTAAGAGTATTATAGAAAGTATATATGGAAGAGTATATAGTAAAGAGTAAATAAGGGAAGATTATATAGGAAGATATATAGAAGAGTATATATGAAATATATAGGAAATATATAGGGAAGAGTATATAGGGAAGAGTATATAGGAAGAGTATAAGTAAAAGAGTATATAGGAAGAGTATATAGGGGGAAGAGTATTAGGAAGGGTATATAAAGAAAGTATATAGAAGAGTATATAGGAAAGTATATAGGAAGAGTATATGGAAGAGTATATAGTGAAGAAAGTATATAGGGAAGAGTATATAGGGGAATAGTATAAATGAGGGTGGTTTATTTAGTGTTTGTAGAGTTAGATGGGGATTGTAAGAATTAGTATGATTGCGTATATGTTGGTGTGTAATGGAAATACTTGGATTGAAGGTAGGGATATTTTTGGATTTGGTGTTAGTTGTGTTATGGGATTGGTGTTTAGGGTGTAGGTGGGGGTGTGTTTAGGGGATGATGGGGATTTTATATGGGTGGGTGGTAATTAGTGAAATGTTTTTATAAAAAGGGTTGGGAATTGGGGGGTAGTTTATTTTTGGTTGTTGGATGAAGGATATATATATATATAATAGATAGATAGATAAGGGTTATAAGGTTGGGTGGTGGTTAAATTTATGGAATAGGTATAATTTTATTTTGGTTTAGGAAGGGAAGATGGGAAGGGAAGGGTTAGATGAAAGAGAGTTGTTTTGTTGTGGGGAGAGTATGGGGAAGGGGGGATGGAGAGTAGTTTAGGGGTGTTTTGGTATAATTTGAAGTTGTGTAAGGGTGGGTTATTATTAGGGGGGAAATGTGATGGATAGGGGAGGATTGGGAGTAGTGTAGTTGAATTTAATAGGTTGATTTGTAATTTAGAGATGAAGGAGTGTGTTTGTTTAGGTTGAATATTTTTTTTGTGGATTATGTATATTGGGGGTTGTGGGGTGGTTTGGTGGATGGGGTAATAGTAATAGGGTGATTTAGTTGTTGGATTTTGGAGGAGAGGATTAGTGTGTTATTAGTTTGGATTGGTGGGGGAGGTTGGGTTTTTGAAGGGGAAGATAGAAAAAGAGTTTAAGAAAAGATGTATAAGAGAGTTTGATTTTTAATTATATTTAGGAATTGAATGAGTGTTATGAGTTTGGTTATTTTATGTTTTGATTAATATTAGTTGGTTAGTGGGTGATTGAGGTGGTTAGTGGGGGTTGTGGGGTTGAGGTTTGTTGATTATTGGGGGTGAGTATATTGTTTTTTATTTAGAGAGATGGATGTATGTTGATTTGGTTAAGGGGTATGGATGGCTAATGGAAGATTGATGAGATATAGGGTGGGTGGGTTTTTTTTTGTGGGGGAGGTGTTTGTGATATGATAGAAGAGGGGGATGGTGTAAAGTGTTAAGTTAAATTTGGGGGAGATGGGAGGTAGATGAGATAAGAGATATGATATAATAAAGAAAATTAGATAAGAAGAGAGATGGAAATTGATGGATGTGTAGAAATAGAGGATATAAATGATAGGAATATCTTGAAATTTGTAGGAATTAGTATATATTGTAAATATAGGGGGATTTGGTAGGGTGGTTGGTATGATTGGTTGAGATGGGGGGAGTATGGTTGAATTGGGAAATATGTTATTTATTTTTGTATGTATAAATATTTATATATATGTATGAATGATATTTTATTGTTATTTTATGTATGGTGAGGGTGGTTGTGGTTTTGTTATGGTAGATTTGTTTTGATTATTGTATATGTTATAATATTGGAATAGATTGTGATGTAGGGTATTAATTTATTTGGATAGGTGTGAGGAAGAGAAGATTATTTATTAGTTTTTTTTTTTTTTGTAGGTAGTGAGAGATGGGGAGTTTGGAAATAATAAATAGTGTATGATAGTTTTGGGGGGGGTGGGAAGTGTGGTTGTGTTGTTGGAAGTGGTATGTGGGTAAGATGTTTTGATAGGGGTGGGAGGGGTGATGGGAGGGGGGGATGGGGTGATGTTGGGGAGGAGGTTAATAATATGTTATTTGTTTGGTTTGGGTTTTTATATGGGGTGTAGAGGTTATTGGTTTTTTTGGTGTTGGGTTTTGTGAAGGGGTGTGTATTATGAATGAGGAAGGATATGGTTTGATAGTATTAGAGATGAGAAGATATTAAGTGAGTAAAGTAATATTGGGATTAAAGAGTGTGAAGTAAAGTAAATAGATTTTATAGATATGTATAATATTTATGGAGGAGGGTATAGGGATTTGTGATTTATTGTATTTTTTTTTGGGGTGTTTTTTTTGTGGGGGGGTTGTAATTAGTATTAGGTGTTTAGTTTTGTTTAGATAGATTGGTTTTTTGAGGTAGTAGGATGATTTGTGTATGAGGGAGGTAGAGAATGGGGAAAAATATGAGGGGGGTGATGGGGGTATGTGAATTATTGTATAAGTTTTTATGGTTGTGTTGAGTGTTATGAGGGATGGGGGGGGAGTGTGGTGGTGAGGGATAGGATGAAAGAGTAAAGTATATATTGTAGGATTATGAAGGGAGAGAAGGAGAAGATTGAATTATAGAGATGTGATGATAGGAAGGATATAAATAGATTAGATTTATAAAAGAAGAAAAGTATATATGTATATTATTTTATTTATAGTTGTATTAGGGTGGGTGTAGTGGGAAAATTTTTATGGGTTAAGGTATAGGTGAGTTGTTAAGATGGGTATTAGATAGTATGGTTGTATTTAGTTTTTGTGTGGTTGTGGGGAAAGGGGTGGTTAAAGGGGTGGGAAATAGTTGTTTTGATGTGGAGGGGTGGGTGATTAATGGGGAGATTGGAGTGAGTTTTGTGATGTATTAGGGTAGGAATGTGATTAATTATTGGGGGGGGTTTGTATTTGGTGTGGTGTGTTTTGTGATAAGTGAGATATAAGTGTTATTAAGAAATGTCGGAATATTATGATCAGATAATTTAGAAGGTTAGAGACGGGAGACAGTGAATGGATTCTTTGTAATTATGTAAAGGTTTGGAGGTTGGTTGGATTGGGAAGTGATGTGGATTGAATGGGTGTTGATTGAATGAGGGGAGTGGGTTAATTGTGGTGGAGTGTAGGGGGGGGTGTGTTATGGGGGAGGGGGTATAGTTTGGGGGGTGGGTGTGGATTGGATAGGGGTGATGGGGGGGTGGAAGAGTATAGCTGGGGGGATAAAGTTATGGGGAGTAATGGTAATAGTGGATTGTTTAGGTAGGTTGGAGAGGGGGTTAATTGGTGGATTGGGTTGGGGAGGGTAGGGGGGGGGGGGGGATATGTAGGGGGTAGATGTGGATGATAGGGTGGGTTTGGAAATATGGAATTTGGGTTTAAAGATTGGGGTTGGGGGTGGAGTGAATGATGGGAAGTTGAAGGTGAAGTAATGGAGTGGGGGGGATATGTTTATGGGGGTTTATGGGGGTTGATTGGGGGTATGGGTTGGTTAGAGTTGTATGGGTGGTTTGGTGGTTTGGGGTGGGAGTGGGGTGGGTGTGGGATGATTTTGGGTATGGGGTTAGTGATGGTGGTGTAAGGGGTTATGGGTTGTATGGGTTTGGTGGTTGGTGTGTGGGGGTTGGGGTGTATTTGGGTTTAATGGTTGTATGGGGTTTATGGGGTGTTATGGTTTATGGGGTTTATGTTTATGGGTTATGGTTTTTATGGTTTATGGTGTATGGGTTTATGGGTTTATGGGGGTGTATGGTTTATGGGTGTATGGGTTATGGTGTTATGGGGTTTATGGGTTTAGGGTTTATGGGTTTATGGGGTTTATGGGGGTTGTTTGGGTTTAGGTTTATGGGTTTATGGGGTTTGTGGGTTGATGGGTTGGTATGGGGTTTTAGGTTTTTGGGTTTTGGGTTTTTGTTTTTGGGGTTGAGGGTGTATTGGTGTATGTTTTGTTTTTGGGGTTATGGGTGTATGGTTTGATTGGTTGTTGGTTGGTTGGGTGTTGGGTTTATGGGGGGTTGGGTGGTGGGGGGGTTTGGGTGTTGGGGGTTTATGGGGGGTTGGGGTGTTGGGTTTTTGGTTTATGGGGTTAGGGTTTTTGGGTTTAGGGTTTATGGGTTTTGTTTATGTTTGGTTATGGTTTTTTGTATGTGTTAGAAGTTGTTTTTTTAGAGAAGAATTAATATTAGAAGGATGTAGGTTATTAATATATATTGAATATAGTAAAGATGATGTAAATTTGTAGGAAGTTAAATAGGATATGAAAGATGTTAAGTATATATATATTGTTATTGTGTTGGGATTGGTAATGGGTTAAGGTGTATGTTGAATTTATGGGTGATATGAGATTGGAGGGGTTTATGGTGGGGGGGGGGTGTAATTGTGGTGGGAATGGAGGTGTGGTGGAGATGTATCTATAGGGGTGGAGGGGTAAATGGAGGGGGGGGGTGGTTGTGGTTTTGTGTATGGGGTTTGGTATGAGTTGGTTGTTTTGTTGGTGTGTGTGTTAATGAATGATATGAATGGGGAGAGTTAAAGGTTGAATGGGAGGATTAGATTTTGATAACGTGGGTTTGGTATAAAAAAGATAGTAAAAGAGGGATGATGATTGGAGAGTAGTGGGGGGGATTAAGGTGGGTTAGTGGATTTAGTGGGTGGGAGGTAATTATTTTTATTATGAGATTTAGTATGGTGAGTTGGGGGATTGGTTAAGAGTGTATAGGGATTAGTTGGATAATGGGAGAGTATGTAGGTTTGTGTTGGTAGGAGAGGGGTGATTGTGTGTGTGAGTAGTGTGTGTGTGTTGTGTTGTTTTTTGATTTTGTATATAAGATTATGGGGTATGTAGTGTTATGTAAAGGTGTGTTGTGTAAGATGTTTGTGTATTGTTTTTGTATATTTGAGAGGTTTGAGAAGTGAATTATGTATTTGAGGGTGATTTGACATATGAGTATAGGGGGGGGATTTTATTCGAGGTGGGGTACGCAATTTTTAAGTAGAGTATGTGGGTGTTAGGTAGGGTGTTTAGGGAATTTAGTAAGATTTGATAGGGGGGAGAGGATATTGGTGTTAGGATATGGGGGGGAATGTGGGGCACCGGTTTGAAATTTGTTTTGTTGAGTTGATGAAGGGTAGGGTGGGTTGAAGATGATGTAGTTAGTATTAGTGTGTTGGGGGAGTGATGTTGGATTTGATAATGATGGATTGGTATGGAGTGGGAAGGGGTTGTTTTGATGATGGGGTTTTAGGGATTTAAGTAGATGGTTTAGAGGATATATAGTGAATTGAGAGGGAATAGGGAGTGTTAGGTTTGGATTGTTTAATTGAGGGGATTGTGGGATGGGAAATATGGGATTAAGTGGAGGGGTAGTTTGAATGGTTTGGTTGGTATGGTGGTGTGGAGGTATTATGGGGGGGTGTAGGGTAGGGTAGTGAGTGTGGGGAATGTGTGTGTGTGTTTGAGGGTGGGGGTGTAGTGTGTAAGGGTGGATGTGTGTGATGTGTAGGTGTATTTGATGGGAGAAATTTGTGTTGTTAATTAGTATGTATGATATGTGTAGGATGGGTTGTATGGGGGAGTTTAAGTTGGGAGGGGGATGGGATTAAAGAGGATAAGGAGAATATAGTAAGAAATAGTGTAGGGGAGGAGGGGGAAAAGGATTTATTAGGTTAAAATAGGAATTTGAAAAATAGGTTTTGATTAGTGAATATAGATTTATAAGGAAGAAGGGTAGATAATAAGATATGAATGTAGGGAGTGTTGGGATAGAGTAAATAAAAAATAAATTTTGGGTGGTTGGGTTTTTTGGTGTGGAGTGTGTGTGTTTTGTTTTGGTGGGTGTGTTGGTGTTGGTTGGTTTTTGGTGTGTGGTTGTGTTGGTTTTTATTTTATTTAGTAAGTTGGAGTTATGAATATGAGGAAGGTTGGTATGGGTTAAGGTGTTAATTTGTTTGGGGATATTTATGGGGATTAGGGGGGAAGGGGGGGGGGTTAGAATGGGTATGTTGGGGATGTATAAAAAATTAAAGAAGAAGAAAAATTGATAGATGAAGGAAAAGATTTTATGAAATAGAGTAGGAGTGAGAGAATGAGTAAGGGGAGTGGTTAGAGAGAAAAGGTTATAAGAGTATATAAAGAGTATATAGGAAAGAGTATATAGGGAAGAGTATATAGGAAGGGATATAGGAAGAGTATATAGGGAAGAGTATATAGAATAGGTAATAGGAAGAGTTAAGGGAAAGAGTATGAAAGTATAGAGAGAAGTATAATATAGGAGAAGATAGTATAGGGGAAGAGGAGATGAGAAGTAATAGATGGAGAGATTGTAATTAGAGAGAATAGATATAGGAAAGAAGTAATATTGGGAGAAGTAATATAGAAGAGTATAGGAATATAGATAGAAGTAGTATATAGAGAAAGAGATATATAGGAAGAGTATGATAGGAAGAGTATATAGAAGATATAGGTAGGAGAAGTATATAGAGAATAGTATATATAGGGGAGGAGTTAAGGATAGTATATAGGAGAGTATAGATGAAGAGTAATAGAGAGAAGTATATATAGGAGAGCGTATATATGGGGAAGAAGTATATAGGATAGAGTAGAAGGATAGAGTAGAGAGAGAAGTAGATATATAGGAAGAAGAGGTATATTGATGGTAGAGAGGAAGATTTATATAAGAGAAGTAGATATAAGAATAAGTATATATGGTAAGAAGTATAAATAGGAGAGAGTATATATGTGAGATAGTAATATAGGGAAGAGGGATAGGAAGAGTATATAGGGAAGAGTAGATATGAAGAGTATATAGGAGAGAGTATATAGGAGAAGAGTATATAGGATAGAGTAGATAGAAGAGTATATATGAAGGAGTATATAGAAAGTATATTGGAATAGATAGAGGATAAGTATATATAGGGGAGAGGAGTATATATTGGGAGAGAAGTAATATAGGGGGGAGAAGTATATAGAGAGAGAAGTATATAGAAAAGAAGTAGATATAGTAGGAGAAGTATATATGGTAGAGAAGTATAAGAAGAGTATATAGGGAAGTATATAGAAGAGTATAAGATAGTATTATAGAGAGAAGTATATAGGGAAGAGTAAGTAGATAGCGTATATAGGAAGATAGTATATAGAGGATATAGGATTAGGGTATATATTGGTAAGAAGTATATATGGAGAGAGTATATAGGGAAAGTATAGAGGAATAGTATATAGAGAAGATAAGTATATAGATGGGTAGATAGTAAAGATATAGAGAGAAGTAGATATAGTATAAGGGTGTGTAGTTAGTGAGTTGAATTAGTAATGAGTTGTGAGAAGTTTTGGATGTAGAGATAAGTATGGATGGGGGTGAAGTGATATGTGTGAGATAAGGAGATTTTGATTGGGGGTTAGTGGAGTATGGATATGGGTTTAGAAGGTGTTGGGGGTGGTTTAGGGAGTATTGAGTGTTATGGAGTGGGGAGATATGTAGGAGAGATGTTTTATTATATGGGGTTGAGAATGGGGTTGATATGGTGTTGTTGTTGAAGGGTATATATATAGAGATAGGGATAGATAGATAGAGAGAGGATATATATGGGTGGAGTGGTGTTTATTGTTTTATGAGTTGATTTGATTTTGTATTAGAGAGGGGAAGATATAGGAATGAGAAGGGGTATATAGAGAGAGGAGTTGTTTTGTGGGGGAGAGTAGGGGGGGAAGATGGGAGAGAGTATGTTTAGTGTTGTAGTATATATATAGGATTGTAGTGTTTGAGGTGGTTATATATATAGGGGGAGAAGTATGTGATAGAGGGGGAAGTATTGGAGTGATTAGTATAATTTAATGGAGTTGATTGTTTATATATTGGAGATGAGGATGGTGTTTGTTTAGGTTGAATTTTTATATAGTTGAGTATGTATATGGGGTGTGGTGTTTGAGTATGGGTATATAGTGAAGAGAAGTGATTTAGTTGTTGATTGGGAGGATGATGGGGTGTATTATTTGGGATTGGGTGGGGTGGGGGGTGGTTTTTAAGGGAGTTAGAAAAAGGAGTTTAGATAGAAAGATGGTATAGAGAGATTGAAGTTGTTATATATATTTAAGAGATGAAGAGGGGTGTATAGTTTGTTAGTTGTATTGTTAGTGATGTAATATTATTGTTTTGGGATTGAGTGAGGTTATGGGGGTTGGTGGAAGAGGTTTTTAGTGATTATTGGTATATATTGTTTTTTTATTAAGAGAGATGGATGTATGTTGGATTTTGTTAAGGGGGGGTATGGATGGGGTGGAATTGAGAGATATAGGTGGTGGAGTTTTTTTTTTGTGGGGGAGGTGTTGTGATTAATGATAAAAGAGGGGGGGATGGGGGTATATGGTTGAATTAAATTTTTGGGGGGAGGATGGAGGAGATAGATAAGAGATGATGATATAATAAGAGATAATATAAGAAAGAAGATGAATTGATGAGGTTGAAAGGATAAGATGGTTTTTTTTTTTTTATTTTTATATATGATAGAATATTTTAAAAGGTAGGGAATTTAATTATATAATTGTAATATAGGGGATTTGGTGAGGGTGGGGTTTGGGGTATATGTGGTTATTATGGGGGGGATTAGGTTGGAATTGGAAATGGATGGGGTGTGATTATGGTGTTTTGTGATGTATATATATTTATAAAGATTATGGAATGATATTTATGTTATTTATGTAGGTAGGGGTTTTGTGTTTTATTGGTATGGTAGATTTGTTTAGTGATGTATGTATATTTTATAATATTGGTGAAAAAAAAATATATGGTGTGATGGGGGGGGGGGGTAGGTTATTAAGATTTATGTTTATATGGGAGAGAGATATTATTATTAGGTTTTTTTTTTTGATAGTATGTAGGTGGGATAGATGGGGAGTTTAAATAAATAGTGTAAGATAGGGGTATTGGGGGGGGGGGTTGGAGTTGGGGTGAGTAGTGGGGGATGTGGGGTATGTGAGGGTAGTGCATGGGTATGATATAGGGGGGGTGGAAGGGTGATTGAGGGGGGGAGGGGTGGTGTGGGTGAGAGGTGTGATTATGAATGGGAATGGATATGGGATGGTTGGTATGGGGTGTATGTATAGGAAAGTGATTGGGGGTGTTAAGGGGGTGTCTGTGGGTGATGGGGGGTGGGATGGGGTAGTATGGAAGAGATAGATGGGTGGTTATGGAGGGTGTATGGGTTTGAGATAGAGGGTGTTATGTGTGTTATGTGGGGTAAAATGTGGGGATTATGTGGTATGGTGATGGGAAAGATGGGGTTGATGGGGTGGGATTGAGGTTGATGTTGTTATGAGGAGGGTGGATGGGGGTTATGGGGTGGATGGGTGTGTGGGGGTATAGGTGTGTATGGTTGTGAAGTGTGTGTGGGGTTTGGATTAGTATGTGGGGTGTAGGTGTGGAGTGTGGGTTTGGTGGGGTGAGTGGGTGTTGGTGTTGTCTCGGGGGGTAGATTGGGAGTGTATTGGTTATGGGGGGTGGCTGGGGGTGGCTGGGTGAATGGGTGTAGGAAGGGGTTATGGGTGTGGATGGGGGTGTATGGGGTGTATGGGGTGGATGGGGGGATGGGGTGGCAGGGGTAGGATGAAAGGGTGATGGGTAGATGGGGTAGATTGTGGTGTATGAGGTGGGATGAAGGATGTATGGGGGTGTCATAAGATGGATGGCTGAGAAGGTGATGAAAGATAGGGTGTGCTAGAAAGAAAAAAGTGGATAGGAGAGAGATGTATTTGGATGAGGGTGGAAGGGTTATGGTGGAAGAATTTTTGTAGGGGGGGTTAAGAAAGTGGAGTTGTTAGAGATGGGAGGAATAGTAAGGGTGATGGGATTTAGTGGTGGTTGGGGTGGTATGTGGGGAATGAAGGGGTGTATGGGGTTAATGGTTTGTGGAAAATAGTGGTGTCTTGAGGGGTGGTGATTAAGGAGAGTGAGTAGTGGTGGGAGATTATGTGGAAATGTGATGGGTTATTGGGGGTGTGTATGGGGGTTATGGTGGGGTGTATGGGTTGTGTATGTTTGTGAAGTGGTAGTTGTGTAGTGTATGGGAGTGTATGGGGGTGTATGGGTGGTAGTGGATGTAGAGTGATATTGGATTGTTATGGTGTGGATGTGGTTAGGAGGAAGGATGGGGTGAGTTGTGTTGTGGGATGAGGGGTGGTGTGGGGGGTTATTGGATGGGGGTTATGGGGGGTGGTTTATGGGGTAGTATGTGGGGGGATGGGTGTGAAGGGGATTTATAGTTTGGGTGTAGGGTTGATTTGGGAGGGTTATGTGGTATGTGGGTGGATGGGGTTTTGGGTTATGGGGTATATGGGGGTTGGGGTAGTGCTGTAAGAGTTATGTGGGGGTGGATAGGGGGTGTATGGTGTAGAGGATGGGGGGTTGGGAATGGGGGAAGTAATGGGTGATGGGGTGGATGGGTTGTGGGGGATATGTTTTGGGTTTATGGGGGTGGATGGGGTGTATGGGTGTATGGGGTTATGGGGTGAAGCGGGTATGGGGGTGGATGGGGTGTGGATGGGGGGTATGGGGTGGTTGGGGGTGGATGGGGGATGGGGTGTATGGGGGGTTATGGGGGTGTATGGGGGTTGGTAGTGGGGGGTTATGGGTTGTATGGGGGTGTATGGGGGTGTATGGGTTTTTGGGTTGGGTATGGGTTGGTATGGGTTTAGGGGTTTTATGGTTATGGGTGTTATGGGTTGTATGGGTTTATGGGGTTTAATGTGTATGGTTTATGTTGTATGGGGTTTATTGTGTTTATGGGTTGTTTGGGTTTTGGTTTATGGGTTTTGTTTTTGGTTTAGGGGGGTTTATGGGTTTATGGGTGTTTGATGGGTTTTTGTTATTGTTTTGGGTTTATGGTTTATGGGTGTTATTTGGTATGGGTTTGGGGGTTTATGGGTTTTGGGTTTTTGGGTTTATGGGTTTATGGTTTATGTGTTTATTGGTTGTATGGGTTGGTTATGGGTTTATGGGGTTTATGGGTTGTATGGGGTTTATGGGGTTTAGTTTTGGGTTTTGGGGGTTTATGGGTTTATGGTTTTTGGTTTATGGGTTGTATGGGTTTATGGGTGTTGTTTTGGGGTTTTTGGGTTTATGGTTTTATGGTTTAGGGTGTTATGGGTTAGAGAATATTTTTTAGTTGTTAAAATTATTTTAAAAGGATAAGTTTAATAATTTAAATATAGTAGAGAGAGTGAAAGAAGTGTGAATTTAAATAGATGATAAGATTAAGGTATATATATAATTTATTTGTGTGTATTGTAATGGTTTATTTATTTATTATTTTTATGGGTAATATTAGATTGGGGAGGTTTATGTGGGGGGTGTTATGTGTTGTGTTGAGTTTGTGGAAGATTATATAAGGGGGGATGGGATTTGGTAAGATGGGGAGGGGGGGGGGTGGTTGTGTTGTTTTGTTGGGTTGGTGGGTGGTGATTGTGTTGTGGGGTGCTGTGTGTGGAATGAATAATGAATGGGGGAGTAAAGGGTTGAAGGGAGAGGATGATGATTTGATAAATTGAGATGTGATAATAAAAGATAGGGTAAAGAGATGGGGTGAATATGTAGAGAGAGAGTGGGGTATGTAAGGTGAGGGATGGTGGGGATTTGGGGGTTGGGAGGGAAATTTATATTTAGTATATGATATGGTGAGTTTGGTGTGGGGTTGGGTTAAATAGTAATGGAGGGAGGGGTTGAATTGGAGAGTAATTAATGATAGTGTGTTAGGAATATGGGTGGTGATTGGGTTGGGTAGTTGTGTGTGTTGTGTTTGTTGTGTGTTGAGTAATTATGAGTAAGATTAATGATTTTTGTGTGTTTATATTGTACTTTTAAGTGTGATTTATTATTAATTTGGTGGTAAATATGATGTTAGATTGGTTTATTTGAATTATTAATTAGGTGGGGGATATAGGTTGGTTTAGTGGGTATGTGGGTGAGGTTTGTGAGAGGAATATAATAAGATTTAGAGGGGGAGAAGGGGATATAGGGGGTGATGGATAATGGTGACAATTGGGGGTGGTAGAAAATGGATAATTTTTGGATGATGTTGAGAGAGGTTGGTGGGTGGGTGGTTAGAGATATTATTATTATATGTATTGTTTTGTGTGTGAGATTTTGATATAAAATAGAAGTGAAGTGGATGTGGAGATGGGAGGGAATGGGGAAGTTTTAAATATGGGTTTTTATGGAATGTATTAAAAAGGGGATAATTAATATATATAATTGATAGGATAGGGGGGGATTTTATGATTGTTGTGTATGAGATAGTGGGAAATTTAAATGGGTTTTAGTGATGGGTAGGGTGGTGGGGAAATTGTTGTGTGGGGGGTAAAAATTTGTTGGGGGAGTTAGTGGTGATGGGTTGTGGTTTTATAGTATGTTTGTTTAGATTTATTGGTGTGGTTTGGTGAGAGTTTGTGTTTTTGTTATTGATTGATTGAGAGATTGTTATTTTGAGTTTGTTAGGTGAAGTATGTTAGAGATATGTGGTAAGAACGGAATTATGAGGATGGAGTGGGGGGTATTGAAATATAATATAATTAGAAACATAGAAAAAGATGTAGATGGAGTGGGAATTGGAATGTATATGATAAATATGTGACAAATGAAAAATATGTATTGTTATTGGATATGATAAATAGATGTGTGAAGAGGAATAAGGGGTAGAAAATAAGATGTGGATGGTGGGAGGGGATTTTAGGGTATGAGAGTAAATGAATAAAAAAGGTAAATAGTTTGGGTGGGTTTGGGTGTTTTGGTGGGTGGGTTGGTGTGTTTTTTTTTTTGGTGTGTGGTTGTGTTGTGGTTTTTGTTTGTGTTTTGTTGGTATTTATTTATAGGGTAGAGTTGGAGTTATGGATATTATTGATGGGATTGTTGTATTGGTTTAAGTTGTTGTTGTGAGGGTGTATATTTGTATGGGGGATAATTTTATTGGGGGGGATTTGCTTTGTTGCCTGGTTTTGTTTACTTGGCGCAATTGTACATCTATTTGTTTAGTGGGTGTGGCAGGTATGCAGGGCCCCTGCTGAAGCCTGGGCTCCTCCTCGCCGCCACTCACTCAGGCCTGGGCCCCTCAGAGGAGACGTCCCAGCTGCTGGAGCTGTGCTCGTGGCTCTGCTCCAGGCTGAAGGAGCCGTGTGGTCTGGAGGAGAGCGTCTCGTTCCTCTCTGGTGAGAGCAGCCTCTACACACTGTCCTCTACACACTGTCCTCTACACACTGTCCTCTACACACTGTCCTACACACTGTCCTCTACACACTGTCCTCTACACACTGTCCTCTACACACTGTCCTCTACACACTGTCCTCTACACACTGTCCTCTACACACTGTCCTCTACACACTGTCCTCTACACACTGTCCTCTACACACTGTCCTCTACACACTGTCCTCTACACACTGTCCTTTACACACTGTCCATACACTGTATACACATGAAAACACTGTCCTCTAAATTATTATTATAAATATTATATGGATAAATGATGATAATGATAACGTTAGGATTAGTAAAGGCTGTGATACTGACAGACGTATAAGGCATTAAGGAAACAATATTAATACAAACATATTATACATACAATGTACAAATCAAGTACAAGGGAGTTTAAAAGTCTTAACCTCTCTCACTCCTTTTTGAGCTGGATTGTTGTTAATAAAACAAAACTGTGTATTTGTACTTCTATTCTGTTGTTGTTTTGTTTGTTTTTGTCCTTTTTTCTTGTTTGCCATGGCTCAAAATAAAGTATTCATTCATTCGTACTGAATGTGTGAAAATGTAGGCCCACTTGTACAGTATTAACGCAATAATAGTTACATTTACTTGCTTTTATTATTACCATGCTGGTTATTTTCTCTCTTTCAACTTTCACCATTTCTACCTACTTTTGTGTAACAAAGGTAAAATGGATGAGTTGTTATTGCTGACCAGCCTATAAGAAGCTGGTCACATGATTGACTTTTAAATATTACAGAAGCATAATTCCTGCTCGACTCAATCTGTAGCGTTTCACTGATTCATTGTCATCCAGTGTATAGAATATTTCTCCTGTCTCCACCGTCCACCATTTTGAGCTCTTAGGGAACTTTTAAGTCGCTTAAGAGCGCTTAGGAGCACTCTTAAGAGCTAGGATTCTTTAGAAATAGCTTTTTATCTTAACTAGGAGCTACTCGTCACTTTTAGGGGAAATTCTAAGAGTTGGTCAAGATTCTAAGAAAATTCTTAGAATTTGGCCACTAGGAGCAACTTTTAGCACTAAGAATCTTTAGGAAAACGGCCCCAGGACTGGATTAACCACCTCAAAACTCTGTCCCCACATGGACTCAATATAAACTATGATATTAGATCAGACATGGGCAAACTTTTCCTCCTGAGGGCCACATTGGAAATTAGGTCCGGATCCTGACAGCCGTCTGATATTCCAATGTTTTTCTCAGTTTCTCAGATCATAAATGTATTGTTCATATGAAAAAAATAGCGGGGATTGTATGATGTTTAAACTGAAATTAACCCACTGTGGGATGAATAAATGTTCTTAATCCTAATCTCTTGATCTTAATCTATATAAATTGAGAAGGGCTCAGGGGCCTGATAGAAGCATCCAAAGGGCCGTATCTGGCCCACGGCCGGGGTTTGCCCACCACTGTATTAGATGCTTCCTTTCATGCTATTTATTGGACTTTGAATTGTATGTTTTTACATAAATGGAAATAAGTATTTTTCTAGATATTTATAGCCTAGGGTGTGGTCTGGCTGGGACCAGGCCCTCTTGGGAAGGCTCTTATCATAGACATATATCTTTATTTGTCTATGGCTCTCATGCCACCAGGGTTGTGCCTTTCTGCACTAATTTGAAAGAATAACAGTCTGTTGATCATTGTTGATAAGGACCATTAATAAAATCATTGCCACTTGCAATTTGAGAGTGCAATTGAGCTCTTTGAGCTTTTGAAGTCAAAATCAAGCTAATGAGGCATGATTTCTAAAACAAAAATCTATAATCAAAAGACACAAATTTGGAATGTCTTTTGATGATAGATTATCTACCGTACATGTAACCGAGATATATGCTAAAAACTAAATATATATCTGACTGTTTGGCTCGACTACATCAGTTGATATCAGTAAAATTTGTCATTATGAAAAATGTAACTGAAAATGTTCTGCTCTTGGCAAATCAAGAGACAACTGATATACTTTTTGACAAACTCAACGTAGAACAAGCAAAAACCTACAATAACTCACAATATCTAGTTTGAAGGAGTTCAAATTCAAATTTCGAAAAAATTAATTCAGAGGTTTTTTCTATGATATTGCTTTATACTTTGAGTTTGTCCATATTTTCCAGTGTGAATTCATGTGAAATTATTCTATGGCAGGGTGTAAATAAACCACTGATCTGCATCACAACCAAATAAAGACACAATGAAGCAAACGCATGAAAAGATTAAAACTCACCATTTTATTATGATAATGTTATTTTGATATGTCAAATTACAAGTGTATGATGTAACGTAAAAACAGTTACAAACATGTATGCATATTTACAGGACGAAAAGGGACACGCTACGGTTGGTATGGGGGACTGTACATGTGACGGAGGGGGCGAGAAACTGAGGACAGGCAGATCCAAGATGGCGGCTATAGAGCGGATGAACGTGAGGCACTTTTTGGAGGTCGTGGGGATGTGAGCGGTGATGGCACTAAACAGACGGCCCGGTCCTGTGTGGAGACGGTCTATGGGTGCATATCAGAGAGTCCGGGGAGAAAAATATGGACATTCTGAAATACCATTTTGAAATTTGAATTTGGTTTGAAGATTTTTGTTCTTTTGAAACAAGCTAAAAATATGTTTGGTTTTGCAATAATATCCAAAATACTCAAATTGAGTTTAGTTATGTTATAGAATAATGTTCCTTCCCTAATAATTGTTGTTCTGTCTTCTGCAAAATCAAAGGGGCGAATGTAAATAGTCATAAAAAATAAAAAATAAAATCAAAATAGGTAATTTAATCCCAATTCCTTCTTTCTGGATGGAGCCCTGTTTACACCATTCTGTCACAGCCTTGAAGATTCTTAATGTATTTAAAGAAAATACTCTTGTTTGGAGAGCTAGTGTCCATGAATTAACTTCTATTTTTTTTTTCAGAATCACCAGTTGTATGCCACAGTCCTTGCAGTTCAGACTGGTTTTCAAAAATCCAAATCCAGACCAGGATATGCACTCACACAGATTCCCGTGTTTACACTGATCCGGGCCTTGAGATGCGCGGCGTCGAAAGGGCAGTGTTTACAGAGTAGTAGGAGTAGTATCATTTATACTGCAAAAATTGTCTCAAAAAACACAAATATGTCTTCCACTATTTTCCAACTAATCACAGAAATGTTACACCGAGCGCAATCTGCAAGATGAAAACGGAACAAAGAAATAAAAACAGTGCACCAGAAGCAAAACCATACACTGAATACAAATCATAATTAGATTTTTCCGTTAATTTTTCTTTCTTTTTTTTCCTTTTTAATTTATCTACACATTGTCAATAATGTACACCGGTATGCATTCCCCGGACATGTGTCACAAAATGTCCAAACGATCCAACGGAGGGTTAGAAAGACTAGCAGCAAAAAGTGGTTACATTTGTTTTCTGAAAAATATAGAGAGATAGTAAAGCGGACAGACACGTGTTGCATATATTTTACAGTGCGTGGAGAGAAGGAGCGCTGGGCTGGTTTAATGACATCCATGAAGGGATGGGACTCAAAAGGAGAAAGTGACACTCAACACAAAAAATATTGGTATTTTCTGCTTTTTTTTTTTTATCGCAAAAGCAGCTGAAATTGCCTTATAACATCTCCGTTATGGAGGCTCGTTTGTTAGGATTAGAACTAATACATCCAATTAAACAAATATTCAAAGGAGTGATCTGTGAGGAGGAGAAATTGGTGCCAGAAGTTCCTGATATTTAAGTCCTAAAAGTCTGTTTATGATGAAGGACAATGTGATAACACGGTTTTAAAGACGGGTATAACTACGATTACGCAGTTAGATTCTATTATACACAATATATATCTAATTACAATATTATACAATATTGTCCAATGTTCACAATTTTACCTGTCAGTTGGTAAGTGAATATCCAAGTGTTGTTTTTGATTCAAAGAACTCCAAAAACAGGTTTCAAAATGTCACTTATGCACATTTGAATCTCAGCCCTGGCAAAGTTTGATTTGGCATTCGTTGTTGTTGTTTTTTTGACAGTGGAAATCCTACACAATGCTATTCAGCCAGCAAGTTTTTCATGTTTCCATCTTTGTTGTGGCCCTCCGTGTGAAGAGGGAGTGACGGGCGCTTGGTTACACACAGCCTCCCCACACACACACACACACGCACACCCACACACGCTCGCACACACACAAACGTGCGCAAATACACGCACGTACACACACACACAAACAAACTTATACTGTACATGACATTGCCGCTGTTCAGTGGGACTGGCTTTTTTCGCTTGTTTAAGAGAGAGAGTTCAGGAGGTAAAGTACGTTTTCACATGGATGTATTTTTGGCCTCTGTCACATCTTCAGATCAGCTTTTTCAGAATGAAAAGTGGAAAACAAAAGGACCACCCTCACTGAAATAAAATATGTTTTCTAACAAGACGGAGAAAGTGCTGTGGTCTGATTTGTTAATTTTAATTTCACAGTTTCTATTGGGATACATTTGTACATGTATATTAATAATCCTAGCTTTAACAACAGCTGCGGCAAGGTCCATGTTGGTTGAGAATAAGAACTAATATTCATGGGTATGCCATTCCAAACTGAACAGTAGCATGCACTTGGAACACACACACACGCACTTATATGCTGTAGAAGAGATAACAGTCGCTCATAGCTTTAATCTGCCAACACGAGAAATATTAGTGATTGTATCTAGCAGCTTTAAATGTACATACAGTATACATATATTTATATATATATAATATTTATATAGAAACTCTTCAGAACACTGCCACTAGTGTACCGTTAACCCAGCTACCCTCCCACCTACCTACCGTACAAAACTAGTCTCTACTTTTCAATGTGAAATAATACCATTAATGTACACACGCTCTGTCATGTGATCTATGGGGAAATGCCCACAGCCGCCATAAATACAACTCTATCTTTCGAATATCAAAGACAACAAAGATCTGATTATTCTTCTTCTTATTATTATTATTAGTATCAGAACTTAAATATAGTGTTATATATTTACACATGTTTACGGAGTTTGATACCCAGGTGTTCCATACTTACTTTTACAGGGAGAGATTGCATAGAAAATATTGGTTCATCGGTGATAAATCGAACACTTTCACGTGACTGTTAAAAGTGCTTTAGTTGCATTTGGCGTGGGTTTTTTTTTATTTGTTATTAATGACTAGTTAGTGAAGTGTAATGAGTAAAGGCCATGTCCACAAAAATGCATTATTAACCTTCAGACAGAATCAGATCAACTACATTTGTGACAAATTTCCATGTTCAACTCATCTGCCATAGCATTAAAGATGATATCTGCAATTTCAATGTTTCTTTTTGAAAATAATACATACTACCCTGTACTATCACTTTTATTTGATATTTTTCACAACACAAATATTAAAAAATAAACATTAGCAGTCAGATTTGCTGGAGGATAATAGTTAGAGCAATGGGGAGGAGCTTCTGTTAGTAAAAAGTTCATTGCCCTCAACTAGGGTCTAACACTTGTATTTGAAAAGCGCTTGTTTGTTCCCTTTTGCGTCTCCACCGCACACATAATGTTTGATCCTGGCTTTCTGTTCATTATATTGTTGTCTTACAATCAAGACATAAAAATAAGCTCTGACCAATAAGGTGTGCTTCAGACAGCGTCTTGTTAAGAGGTAAATCTTGATTCCAATAATGAAGCCAAACACTACGCTTGGCCTCACCATTAGGTCACATTCACAGACTTATTGTTCAATGATTGATGGGTGGTACTATATTTTGAGGTCAAAATGTATAATCTGAGTATTTCTTTTGCAAAAGTTGCAGTTGACAGCAATATGTCAACTTTATACTTGCATATGTTTGGATCATTCCAGCGTTCTCCAACCCAATAATAATTATGATCGAGGATGTATAGTGTGGACACAGCCTTTCTGTTGTTTAGACTCTATGTCGCTGATATTGTACCAAAACTCCATAATTAAAACATTTTATCCACTTATACACTGGATATACAAATTAACAGTCTGTCTGGAACCTGTTTCCCCTTAAGTTTTAATATTTCAAGGATAATGAAAAACACTAAAAGAAGAAGGGAAACAGGAGGAATTGGACAGCTTTTGTTTTACGGCATTGGCCACCAGTGCATTTTACACCTATGTAACACACACACACGCATCATTTTTTGTTTTGAAAAGTCAAGCATTCTGAACAAGTTATGAGAAATTCACTTTGGAAAATAAAAAATATATATTATAAAAAGAAATAATAATAACATAAAACATTGACGATGGAGAGGTGTCGCAACCGAAGCTTCAAAAGTAGTGCTTACAATGATGTTCTTAAGTGCCATGTTTTGAGTTTCAACCCCATACTCACCTAAATAAAACTTGCTGGTTGAGCAACATTTCAAATTCATCCGAAAATAGATTTATAATAAGCTTTAGAATTGCAAGTAACTCTTATAAATCTTGAGGCGGCCACTGTATTTTACAAAATCTCTTGAAAACTGCACTATTTTGGGGAAAACTACAACCGTCTCCCCATCTGGTTGATCCCTTTGTTTTGGAATGCGGTGGAGTGGTCCGAATTGTTTTGGCTGGAAAAAAGTACCTTGAAAAAAAACATCTCGGGGCGGAGAACGTTGGCCATAAAGGCGCCACAAAACATCTGTGAAAAGTCCCAAAGTGACGAGAAACCACGTGGCTCAGACCGATACCGAAAGAGGGAGGGGAACGCAGATTGGAGTGCACTTTTTCTGTATAGTAATTACAGTGTGGAGGCGTGAAGACGAGGCCAAACATCAAAGTTACAACAGATCCCTTTTACGGCAAATAACTTCTTTTTCTCCATCTGTTGTCGATAGCTTGTCGATCTCTGTACAAACAATTCCTTCATTAACGTTGTCCGCGCGTGGCCTTTACGAAATGTGTGTGTGTGTGTGTGTCATTAGTAACGTCTCCGAGTCCTGTTAAATCGTGCGTTTCCTCCGCCAACCGAGCTCGCAACACGACGCAAGCTCAAACCGCGAAAAAGCGTGTCTCTACAGCGCACCGCTTTCAAATCTCAGAAAGCGCGATCGCACCGGATTTAAAATGACGCCCGGTTTTTGTTAAAAATCTCCACTTGGTGTAAGCTAGCTTAGTGTGGGAAGAGTCCCGTCAGCCAGCCGCTTTGTGCTTCCCTCCGCAGCAGTGGCACGCCTCTCCACAGTGGTGGCAGGCGCGCAGGGGCAGGTAGCAGCACATGCAGGGCGCCACGAAGGACAGTGCGACCAGGGCGAGCCAGCGCAGACAGAACTGCTCGTCGGACGTGTCGCAGGAGCACGGGTCGGAGAAGTCGCCCTCCGAGTCTGACATGCAGTGGTAGAGCAGGCTCTCGGCGCACAGCATGCAGCTGACTTTGTAGATGCACTGGCGGATGGGGTCGGGCGCGTCCTGGCACTGGCCGCGCCCGTTGTCCTCGTGGTTGAACATCTCGCGGCAGTAGATGCACCGGGAGCGCTCTCCGTCCTCTCGCCGCCGCCGGCTCTTTTTGGACTTAGAAAGAGACAAGAGATTGTTAGATGACATTTAATCAGAAAATAGAACTGTGTTAAGAGTCTAACGGTTTCCTTTATTTCACCGCTACAGCTTAAGGAAAGTGTTTGTGTATGTTACAGATGTCAAGTAGCGACAATGACTTGTGACTGTGGTTCTCTGAATCCTGGGTGACCGCAGAAGCGCTAAGTCCATCTGAAGTGCTTTGTGAGAACATTTCTAGGAAAGGAGCCTCCAGTGTCATATAACTCCAGTACATCTGGAGCATCTACAGATGTTGATGATCCAGACCAGAGCTCAAGATGATTTGTATCCAGACTGTTGACTCACAGGAGCTACTGTCTGAGGTATCAACCTGCGACAATCTCTGCCGGACATCCCGGATTTATAAAAAGCTACAGTCAGAACTTGTATAGCTTCTCTTGAAATTTCCCCACTGTGGGATGAATAAAGGAATTCTGATCTTTATGTCTTATCAGCAGAACAGTTTTAAACTGTGCACATATCATAGCACAAGGGTTTTCTAATCATTAAGTACACTGTGGACTCCATTAGCAAACACATTATAACACTGGTGAGGTGATTGAGAGTTCCTCTGTTCACTTATGTAGGTGTTCTATTGGAAATTACCAGTTTGCAGCTGTAATAGTCATTTAATAAATGTACCCCATGAACTCACTTTAAGCAGCAGTGGAGACGGTTGTGTTTTGATGGCAGAGTCTTTGCCCAGGCCCAGGCCCGCGCCACCAAGGCCCACACCCGAGCCCGCTGAGTGCAGCAGGTCCCCGGGGTGTGCGTCGGAAAACAGGTACTTGTTGGCGTCGGCTTTGTGGAAGGCAGAGGGGAAGTCTGTGGTGTCGCGCTCGCTCTCCTGCTTCCACATGACAGGGTGGCGGTAGTCCTCGTAGCCCCGGATCAGCACGTCCTTGCGTGGGTTGATGCGCACGATCTCCTCCTCGTCCATGTGGAAGCTGACGTGACGGTTCGGCTTGAACGACACCTGCAATGCATGCACACGTATACACATTTAGAATAACTATCAGAAAAAAAGAGGACATACATTGGCCTGCTAAAGTACTGAACAACTAAAAGTAATTTAACTTTTGTGCATCTATCAGGATGTCATCTAGTGGCTATCAATCTAAAGAATAATGATTAATTGATTATCAAAATAATTGTTTGAGACAGCCCCTCTTTTCAGGGATTTCAAATACCAGAATCACTTATCATTTCACTTTCACTTCAATTCACTGTTTATTTTTTGTGGTCCTTCAAGAAAAAGTAGTATGTTTGTTCCCGTAAACATAAAAACATGTGCAAAAGTTCAAGTGATATTCCGCCTATTAGTATGTTGTGAAGAGTGCAGACCTGAGGGGGCAGGTAGCGTGTGTTGGATGGGAACTCGTCGAAGGGCTGAGCGCGGACGTAGCAGCCTCTGAAGGGCTCCGAGTGGATGTCGCTCATGGGGGAGAAGGGCTCCTTCATCGAGGTGCAGTGGGAGGGGAGCTCGCTGCACACCTGCGCAACAAACATGTCAGCTCAGTACGCGTTGTATTCAACGAGAGGCTGTAACATTCTTAGTAATGGTTATACTGACGGTAGAGAGGCTACTAATTCACGCCATTGGCCTTTCCATGCACGCTCACACACATACACACCAAATGTATACTAGGCAATGTGGGTGGAGTGCCTTGCCGAAAGACACGATATAGGTTTGGCACTTTATACTTTACCTGGTATTCCCAGAGGTCTACCATCACGATACTAACCAGGCCCTGCCCTGCTAAGCGTCTGAAATCTGACAGATTAGGCATTCACATGCAGCTTTTGAGCTTCTATAAAAGACTCTTATGTTAATTCAAAACTCAATAATACATTCGAAAACTACATTATTTACAGTAGTTCTGTTTTAAGTGCTACATTTTAAATCTAAATGGTCTCCTTTCTTGGTGAGAGCATGTGGGCTGTTCTGGCCACAGCCAGCAGAGGGCCTCATACACCCACGCTCTGCTGCTGCATGTGTGGATGACTCAAGGCCCTTCTGTTTGCACTCAGCTCCCACTAACATCTGAGCTCATGTCACATCTCACACCGGAGCGGAGCTGACCACCGCGCTCAGCCGCCCCGCACTGCGCACTCATGCACCGGAACGCACGTGGAGCGGCTGCACCATATGCCAAGGCTGGTCCTGACACACAGATCTACAGGGGCAGTCAAGGCCTTGACTATTACTGTTCAATACATAAACAGTTCAAATACAACATTTTTGGTTCCAATCAGTGGTTTATTTACATTGCATCTGCAATAATGAAGAAAGTTTTTGAACAGGATGATTTTAGCTTCTGCATGCAAGCCCACATTGCGAGAGCTCAAGAATCATTTACAGCCTCAGTCCTAGATGACAACCTCAGTCCTGGACTACAGCCTCAGTCCTGGACTACAGCCTCAGTCCTGGACTACAGCCTCAGTCCTGGACTACAGCCTCAGTCCTGGACTACAGCCTCAGTCCTGTACTGCAGCCTCAGTCCTGGACTGCAGCCTCAGTCCTGGACTGCAGTCTCAGTCCTTGACTCTGCTACAGTCCTGGACTTTTCCCTGTATGACAAAAGAGGGTCTTAGGACTGGGGACTTTTGGACATTTATCCATTTCCTCAAACACCCCTGAACTTTGTTTCATCTGTTTGTCTTTATGAGCCAATAACTGTTTTATTTGTGTTATTGTTGCGTTTTCTAATCTGTTCAGTTCTAATTGCAGGATGTTATTCCTCCTTTAACCACAGACTCGTACTGAACTTTTGAAACACGTTGGAAAACCCTCTGATAGCATGAGAAGCCCCAGTCCTGCCTATGTGGCTCTGTTCAACCCAAGCCGTGTGACTTTTAGCGCACAGCGGAAATCTGCTCTGCTCCCAGCCGCTGCTACAGTAATTACTGTCCCGCGGTTGCTAAGAGATGCTTCCTTTGACTTGTGTCGTCCCCCTCTTCCCCCCCTTCAAGACTGCAAACACATGGCCTCTAACGGGGGGAGCAGACAAAGAGACAGGCTTACTGTGGAACGTACTAAGCTAAACTATATCTACCATGAGTAAGTAAAGTAAGAGCATTTCACAGTCCAATGTCACCCAAAGTGCTTTATAATCTTTTGTTCATTTGACTTTTCTGGAGTTATATTTTTACTTCAACAGTGTAACCAAACTTATATACAGTAGGATAAATGACTGTACTCTTACTTGAGTCATATATTACACTACTTCATGTTGCGGAGTCATTTGTGTATCACAGGCTAAGAACGGAAAAGGAAGAACAAGTCCATTTATTACATTGGGTGTGTACCGAGGTATAGGTCAGAGAGGCAGCAGGAGCAATGAGCAACACACATGACACAAACATGCATGAGTCAATCTAAAATTACTCATAAAAAGGGGGAACAAATATAATTAAAGCCGCAAGCGGCGTCAAACGGCCCTCGCCGCACCGCGCGACTCCCTGCACCGCGCGACTCCCTGCACCGCGCGCACTCCCCGCACCACGCCGCCGCGCACCAAGCCGCCCTGCACCATGCCGTCCCGCACCACGCCGCCCCGCACCAAGCCGCAACGCGCCGCTCCACAACGCCCCGCACTACGTCGCACCACACCGTACCACGCAGCACTGCTCAAAGGAGGTGGCACCGCCGTGTGACGATTTGTTCCCGTAGCCATAGAAGCATGTTGGTCAAATCGTAATGAATATGATAAGTAGAGCTGGTTTGGCTCCCAATGTAAACTTTGACAGAGTCTGTAGGGGGCGCTAATGGGCCAATTTCCAATATTTCACTTTAACCTGACCTAAACCCTGGAGTTGAACAATGGATTAAAGTTTTGTGCAAATTAGACTTTGTTTGTGCAAACAGGAGCAAAATTAATGTTGTCAAAAAGAGCCAAAAAAACCCTCACATTTTGCCGCTCCGCTGCTCAAACAACGTTTCACTGATCACAATTCCCTGAAGTCATTTTGAAGGTAAATGGGTTGAGATGATTTGGAACAATTTTGAGGCCAATCGGTGAAACGGCCGAGGAGGAGTCGCTTTCCAACCGACGTGTATGAAAATGATTGGTTTTCATTTTTCCATTTTGCAATGAAATTTATGGGCTTCCTGTTTGTCAGAGGGCTTATCCATGATAACATTTTTTCCATGTCTTGACTTGAGGAACATGTTTTCCAAATTACATGTTTCTATGACAATTTTGACCTCGAACCCCTCCCATAGGCATTTTTAAATTGGCTGTTGTAGGTGGCGCTATAGAGCCAATTTCTAAATTTTAACTTTCAAATGACCTAGACCCACGAGTTGAACCATGGATTCAAGTTTTGTGCAAATCAGACTTTGTTTGTGCAAACGGAGGCAATGTTTCTATTGTCAACAAATGAAAAAAAAATACGCCACTTTTTGGCGCTCCGCTGCTCAAACAACGTTTCACTGATTAAAATTCCCTGAAGTCATTTTGATGGTACATGTGTTGAGATGATGTGGAGTGATTTTGAGGCGAATCGGTGAAAAGGCCGAGGCTGGTTTGATGTTTGTGTGAGGTGTACATTTGCAATGAATGGGGCGCATTTGTCGTCGCCACGGCAACAGGGTAAAAAATAAGGCTTGGACCCTGTTGAGTTTTTGAATTAACAGGGCAAAACAGATGTATGTGCAAAATTTCAAACATTTTGAAAAAACTAAATTTAAAAATGCCTATCTAAAACTTTGAAATAGTCTGTAGGGGGCGCTAACGTGTCAATTTGAATAATTTTCAAATGACCTAGACCCTAGAGTTGAACAATGTATTAAAGTTTTGTGCAAATCAGACTTTGTATGTGCATACGGGAGCAAATTTAATGTTGTCAAAAACGGCCAAAAAAAGGTCACATTTTGCCGCTCCGCTGCTCGAACAATGTTTCACTGATCAAAAATCCCTGAGGTCATTTTGAAGGTACATGTGTTGAGATGATGTGGAGCGATTTTGAGGCGAATCGGTGAAACGGCCGAGGAGGAGTCGCTTTCCAACCGACATGTATGAAAACTTTTGCTGTTCATTTTTCCATTTTGCAGTGAAATTTATGGGCTTCCTGTTTGTCAGAGGGCGGGGCCATAATAATATTTTTTTCTTGTCTTGACTTGAGGAACATGTGTACCAAATCTCATATTTCTACGACAAACTTGACCTCCGAAAAGTCCCATAGGGGTATTATTTTGGCTGTTGTAGGTGGCGCTGTTCTGTCATTTGTTGAGTCCCATAAAAATAAACACCAAAATATCAAATTTTTCGCCAGGTCTGATTTTTGGGCCAAAATTAACAACTTTTCATGCATGTTCAGGGGGTCAAATTAAGGCTCAAAGTGCAGAAGAAAAAAGAAAGAAAGAAAGAAAGAAATAAAAAAGGAATTTTTTTTTTAACGTCTCGAGCAAAAACAATATAGGTTTCAATGGCATGTGATACATCATTTTAAAGCTTTTGAGTTTACGCATGCAACCGTCACATTTTGGTGAGTGACGGGCGCTGACGCGTCCGTCACTCACCGCCACCATTTGTTTTCACCATTGTGAAAGCAATAGGCCCTTACCCCGTTCGGGGCTCGGGCCTAAAAATCTACTCAGAGTAATAAGTGCACATCTGGACATGTAATATGAGTTCTGTGGAGAAATTTAAAGAAGACATACCATGCTTTTGTCAGACATATGGATCATCATCATGGGAACTAGGGCTGCACGATATATTGAAAAAATAGCGTTATCGCGATATTGGTGCGTGCAATATCCATATTGAAAAGCGTGATTAAAAAAAACAACCAAACAGACAGACACATCAACATTCAACAAGAACAACAAACAAACAAACAAAATAGTATATGAATGTATGCAGTTGAATGTCATTAATGTTGTGCTTATTTTTTTGTTATTTGTCTCGTGCGTTTCAATGCAGATTGCCATTTTAGGTGAAATACAATAATATCGCAATAATATCGTTATCAAAATACTAAACACTCATATCGAATATCTCTCTAATTTCCAATATCGTGCAGCCCTAATGTGAACCACTTTTGTTATTTATTGAAATCTCAAAATAGAGATAAAACAAAATGATAAAAGAAAAAAATATCCAGTCAAGCGAGAAGGATCTATGTTGGCCCATTACGGTGGCCCATTACGTAAATGTGGTCACATCAATTACGGATTAAGTTGGCAAACTACATACATTTTCTCCATAAGAACAAAAATGCATTTGCAATGCTGGAGAATTATTTGTCTGTGATTCAGAAATAAGTGAAAACAGAGGAGCCAGAGAAGGAATGACATCTTGCACATAAGAGAATATAAATGGACTTTTTGGTTCTTTTTTATCAGACAATTGTAAAATAACAATGTAATTAATGAATTGCCCCTACACACTGTGAAAGTGTAAAGACAAAGATAAACTATTTCTACGCTCCAAATCCCTGAGTGCAGAGATGTTGTACGTTTTCAGTCCTCCACAGGTGAAGACTGTTGACATGTGGCTGGAGTTTAGCTCTCAGGGCAGAGCTTCTCTTTCTGTGGAGCCCACAGTATCTCCAACAGTAACATTGGGATGCCAGATCACCATGGTGACACCGTCAGTGGCTTACCCCCCTCCCTCCTCCACATGCACATAACCGCTGCCTAGCAACTGCGGTGCACTGGATTTCCTGTACGTTCACAGCAATTCCTTAAAGAGGAACTTCAGCTCACATCTTTAGGTCACGTTTAGTAACTTGATCAACCTTCCCTCCTGAATCCTTCAGACTGACGCCTGATGAATTTATATGTATATATGTATATATATATATATATATTTATGTATATATATATTTTTTACTTTTGAATGCGCTGGAAAACAGCAGCAAGTCCTAGTTGTTGTTTTTTGCTTTACAATTTTTATTATTCTTGCTTTTTTCTACCTGAGATGTTGCTACAGTACAGTACAGTGTTCATGGTTTTGCACTGGTTCAGACCAGAGCAGAGAGGAGTCATGGTCCAAACCAAGTGGATCAGGTGAAAATCCACTGTAGGAATGCTCACTTTTTTAAAAATGCTAATGAAGCATTTAGCATTTTACTTTGGACTAGAGCAGAGAAAATGATCTGAACTACTTCACCTTGTGACCTGTCCTGCTCCACCCAGCGGCTACTCCACCTCTGATGCTGTGACCTGTCCTGCTCCACCCAGCGGCTACTCCACCTCTGATGCTGTGACCTGTCCTGCTCCACCCAGCGGCTACTCCACCTCTGCTGCTGTGACCTGTCCTGCTCCACCCAAAGGCTACTCCACCTCTGCTGCTGTGACCCGTCCTGCTCCACCCAAAGGCTACTCCACCTCTGCTGCTGTGACCTGAAGGGCTGTTGCTGATTATTACTATTGTTAGCTTTTTAAAATGATCAATTTTATTTTTTCTGTTTGCTGCTTCTGGACACCAGAATTTCTCCTACAGGGATCAATAAAGTATCTATCTATCTATATCAGGGGTGTCATTCATACGGCCCGCGGGCCGGAACCGGCCCGCCAAGAGATTTGACACGGCCCGTGGCTCATTTATGTAAAAATATAATAAAGTTACATTTTAAAAAGCCGCTCCGCGACGCGAGGCTCCGCGACGCCGCAGCGCCGCGCTCAGGGGTGAGTCCAGTGCGTCTGTAGTGGCTCCACCAGAGCGGTGCTGAAGGAATAACATCTTAAACTACAAGACTCGGCGAAAAATACGGCACTTTGAGCGAAGAATTGAGAAAACAGAAGATAAACCTGTCTGGCCCTGAAGACACAGCAGTCTGTTTGTGTCCAGAGCGAGAGGTTAGTGCTGCTGCTGTAAAGGGAAGCTACCTGTGCTAACAACATTAGCATCGCAGCCGCACAGTGAGAGAGAGTTTGTTAAAACTCTCACAGGCTGCAGACATGGTCTGAGAAACCACTCGCTTTTACCAACATGTTGCCATTGATAAGAGACTGATGTTACTGATGTCACATATTCATTTGTGGTGTTACTGAAACTATCAGAGGAGTTTTGAGCGCTGCTGCTGGTGCTGCTGCTGGTTCTGCTGTTGTTGCTGGTGTGTTGGACAGTGTGGACGGGTACCGATGGTAAAAACAGGTGTAGTGACAAAGCTGCAAATGGAGGTGATGATTTTTGGACATTTGACTGTATTTTACACAGAGACACTGCTGCAGTCGTTAAGAATAGATCACGTTATGGAAGTAAAACTTGCTAAGAAGTACAGATGATGGGTGAGAAACCTTCCTTTGCTTTGGTTATGGAAGTTGTTTTATTCATTAACTGAATCATGGTCAGTTTGATGCTTTCTCTGTGATAATAACATAACCATGGACCTTACACACTGAAGATGGTTAATGTGATAATAACATAACCATGGACCTTACACACTGAAGATGGTTAATGTGATAATAACATAACCATGGACCTTACACACTGAAGATGGTTAATGTGATAATAACATAACCATGGACCTTACACACTGAAGATGGTTAATGTGATAATAACATAACCATGGACTTTACCACACTGAAGATGGTTAATGTGATAATAACATAACCATGGACCTTACACACACTGAAGATGGTTAATGTGATAATAACATAACCATGGACCTTACACACTGAAGATGGTTAATGTGATAATAACATAACCATGGACCTGACCACACTGAAGATGGTTAATGTGATAATAACATAACCATGGACCTTACCACACTGAAGATGGTTAATGTGATAATAACATAACCATGGACCTTACACACTGAAGAAGGTTAATGTGATAATAACATAACCATGGACCTTACACACTGAAGATGGTTAATGTGATAATAACATAACCATGGACCTTACCACACTGAAGATGGTTAATGTGATAATAACATAACCATGGACCTTACACACTGAAGATGGTTAATGTGATAATAACATAACCATGGACTTTACCACACTGAAGATGGTTAATGTGATAATAACATAACCATGGACTTTACCACACTGAAGATGGTTAATGTGATAATAACATAACCATGGACCTTACACACTGAAGATGGATAATGTGATAATAACATAACCATGGACCTTACCACACTGAAGATGGTTAATGTGATAATAACATAACCATGGACCTTACACACTGAAGATGGTTAATGTGATAATAACATAACCATGGACTTTACCACACTGAAGATGGTTAATGTGATAATAACATAACCATGGACCTTACACACTGAAGATGGATAATGTGATAATAACATAACCATGGACCTTACCACACTGAAGATGGTTAATGTGATAATAACATAACCATGGACCTTACCACACTGAAGATGGTTAATGTGATAATAACATAACCATGGACCTTACACACTGAAGATGGTTAATGTGATAATAACATAACCATGGACCTTACCACACTGAAGATGGTTAAGCTGAGGTGCTGTGTTTAAGTGCTTTTTTTCTATCTACCTACTTTACCTTTGTGAGCAGGTTTTCTCTGTAATGAGCCTTAAAACAAAGCTAACACACAAATATTAATATACATATTGTGAAATACCATTTTCAATGTAATATTGTAAATACGCTACATTATTTGCACTATGGAAAACTCACTGTTACATTTAAGTTTGTAACAGAAAACTGAGTATTAAAGGATAGTGTTTTAAAGGAAGTTTTAAATAAATGTGTTTATGTGCACAAAAAGTTGGACTTTGTACCGTTTTTGGATATTTTTGTAGAGCATCTCCTGGTCCGGCCCACTTGAGATCAGATTAGGTTGTATGTGGCCCCCGGACCAAAATGAGTTTGACACCCCTGATCTATATGGTTACTGTTGATGTTAACACAAATATAGAATGCTGCTTGTTTACAGAATGTGTTCAAACTATTTTTCCAGAGGGCAGAAGAGACAAATATGGAAGATAACAAAATTAACTCAAGTCCATTCCTTCTTGGAGTGTGCTTGTTTGTGAATAACACAAGCTACATTGAGAAGTTAAGCAGCAGATTCCTGAATGAATGTTGCCCCAGGGCCAAATGTTTCACATGGTTGTCATAGTGGAATGCATCAGTGTACTGAGGTCACAGTGAGAACAGCCTTCTCTCAAACACTTACAAGTCAAATGTGGAACATGTGTGCAGTGCTGTGCAAAAGCCAGTCAACTCGAAATGTACAATTTCAATACAATATGCATTCACTGTAAATAATAGTGAAAATAAACACTTACTGGTAAACCATCCTCCGGACTGTCGCCATCTCCAAAAGACCGACAACCTGTAAGAAAAGAACTGGGTTTATTCAACGGAAAAGAATGGTGATGCCACACTCAGAATAAGATCCATGACAATCTCTGACAACAAAAGGTGGCCTGTGTGTTAAATAGCAAGAGGAAGTTTGAATCAATCATGTTCCTATCTATCCTACGTCATTGTAACGGTAGTATCATTGGTGTTCTCATAGTCCTGTTAACAATACACGTTCTAATCTAATTTATTTATTACAGGGACAGTGCGTATTAATTAATATTTCTGTAAATATGCCAGAATGAGCTAAGCGGCTATTTTTCATCCATAGTCCTGTCTCCTGAAAAATAAAAACATGTTCGCTACACAGACAGTTCAAATAATGTGATCTATTTACAGTGTTTACAAGGACAAGAGAAGAAAACATTCAGTCACACATCATTCAACAAACGAGGAGACAGACACAGAACACATACAGACGCACACTCTCTTGTTCTGAGGGAGAAGTTGAAACAAAAGTATGCTTAAAAAATATATTATAATAATTAAAAAAATATATTGTTTTTATTATAGAAATATGCCTAATTACCACCAGTAAGATTTGCTGGAGGACAGCACTTGAACCATTGGTGAGAGGGCTCACCTGTCAGTCAAACATTTGAATTCCTCAAATCAGGAAGCAGGTGGGCGAGGCTTGCATTTGAGAAAATACCCTTCTCCACAGTTTGTAAAGTAAGTTGTTGTTCATAAATGTCATAATTGAAATAAATCCTGACAGAAAGAGCCATGTAAATAATAACATTGTAAAAACAGTTTGCCTTTGCAAGCCTGTAAGAAGCCCTGTGAGTCAATATAAGACACTAAGGGTGTAGAGCAAGGGTGGTTATCTCTACGTCACATTTTTGTCTGAAAAAGCAGATCCAAAACTGTGCTACAAGCTAACAATTGTGCATGTTTAGAGGGATCAGAATCAGTGACATGGTTTAAAAAGCATAGTTATAATTGAGGCAGTTTTAAAAGCAGATTTCCCAGCTCTAAAGCCATTTCACTCAACTTAACAATAATTAATACATTTATACATTAATAAAATCAGACCACAATACAAAAGGATGTTTTCACCTTTTAAGAACACATTTTATGCCCAGCTTAAAGATGGCTATATTTCAGATTTGACCAAAAAAAAAAAAGTTTTCTAGATTTGAAAATGAGATGATTTGCTAGATGATCGACACCTTTATTGTTCTGATTGAATGTTTAAACGGTTATATAACTGCATGGCCTGTGTGTGCATTGTATTTGACTTCTGATTTGAATGTGGCACCCTGATTATGGACTGTTTTACATTGGGGGTGAGCGGGGCCTCATTAGCAGCCTGTGTGCGTCCAGAGAGGCACCACTCCAGAGGACACCAGGACTCCTGTTAGCATGTGTTAGCATGTGTTAGCACGTGTTAGCCGTTTCCATCTGCCCGTCTGTCAGTCCGTCCGTCCCGTGATGTGTTTCTCCGCTTCTCCAGAAAAACAGGCTTCCCGCGGCACGACTCAGCCAGCGCCGTGTGCCCAGCGTCTCCATGGCAACAGAGGAGCGCGAGGCCGATACACACAAAAGAGAGGGAGACGGAGGAAAAGCATATTCTCTGTGGGCTGGGAGTGAGAGGACGTGGCCGGCCAGCAGCAGCAGTAGCGCGATGCAACAGGAATACAGAGCGAGTACCTGGCTGTTACGCAACGCGGCACTCAGCCCTGTGCCATGCTGAAGAGCACAGCAACACTATGCAGAGAAAAGACTCTGGTCTGTATGTTTGTCAGCTATGAGAGGGACATTATACAAGTCAAAAGGAATGCTGTCCATGGGGTTTGGCTTCATTCATTTGAGGAAAGTCTTCATTCTTGGTTGAGTTGTTAAAAGTATTAAAAAGTTAGGTCATTATTAGGGTTGCACAATATATTGCAAAAATATAATCTCTATAATGGAAAGTTATATTGATATCAAATCATATAATTTTATGTATAAATTGTGTCTTTCATAAACAAGAGAGTCCATAGATAGAATGTTGGGTTTCAGGAAAAAGAGAAGAGTGAAAATGAGAGTAGCATCCACTTCTTCCTAAAAGCACTGCAGTTCCAACATAAACATTTAGAATATTGTAATAAAATATTGTTATTGCAGCCCTTAACACATCACACTTATTTCCAATATTGTGAAGTTCTAATAACAATTTATTCTAGAACTAGTTGTAAAACAATTATTTCAGAAAATTATGGATACTGGTAATTGATCTTATTATAGTGTCCTACAAATAGATGGCCAGTCCCCCGTGGGCCATTGCATTTCAAAGGCGGTATATAAATAAACATTACTTACTTACTTAATTTGTTTAAATGAGTCAGCAGTTTTTTCTATGTGAAAGTTTGAGAAAACCTGCCCGTTTCTCAGGTATGTTAAAAGTTTTTTTTACAGTCATTCATTTCCATGATGATTGGAAACACTTAATTGATCCATAGAAGAGTAGGCTGGACAGTGAGGTAAGAAAGTTTGTATGTAAGATTATTTTTATAATAAGTGATGCCCTCAGATCACGTGTTGCCTTTGTGTCTCCACCTTATGAACTATGACCGCCTGGTGTGGTATAGAGCTTAGGTAATCGGCCGTAAACACCAAACACAAGACAGAGCACCAATTGTGAATTGTGTGAAAAGTATACTAAAATAGACAACATGCCCAAAAGGGTTAAAGCTTTTGGTCCATAGGCAGCGTTACCTCAAATGAGTTTACAGTTAATTTTGTCATGACATCATCCCAGTTACTCCACAGCCGCTTCTATCATGAACAGAAATACAACCTAACACAGGAAGTACAGTGTTATCTGGGCAGATGGCAGCGATAAGGGCACATGGGGTCACACCTGGGTGAGCCGTGGGGGCGGAGTCACACCTGGGAGAGCTATGAGAGGGGTCACAGGTGGGTGAGCCCACAGGGAATGAGGGACTAATCAACACTCCCTCATCTTTCCCAGAGCACGCGCCGAGACAGCTTTTAGTGCTCAATAACAGACAGGAAAGGTTTGTAGAATGTGCGCCGTGTTCTTAGACATTCACCCAGATCCGCTTACAGGTAATGGAGGGCCGCCACACTAGAGCCAGACAACGCTTAAAAGGGAACTCCAGACACTCTACTGATAAGGATTGTAAAAAACTATTGCGGTTAAAATATTGTTTGCTTTAAGATCAAGATTAAATATTTAGCAACTGTAACAACGGCATGTTGTGTTGTTGTTAACACATAATCCTGCATGTTACAGACAATATCACAATACAACATAAAGTAGATATTGTACTTTATGATGCACTTCATTTAATCTTTCTTGAATGGATTAAATCAGCTATCTCCCCTTGTGTTTAGCGATCCAGGTTCTCATTGGCGATGATCACGATGTCACTGGGACCATATTGCTCCTGACAGAGGCCAGAGTGGCATTTGCAGGATGGGTCAAATGCCTTCAGGGATGAATAAAGTATACCTTAACCTTGACCTACATTTACATATTAAATAGGGTTGGGCGATATGGGCCTCAGCATGTATCACGATTTTTGTTGGTATGTATCACGATATGACGATATGATATTTTTAACAAAGCCTCATATAAAAGCTATAAAAACTTAGCACTGATCATTTTAAACACACTTGCCTCAAAGTGCATTTACTCATTTTTTGGCAGCAAAATGTGTAATACAGCTATTGTATATAAAACGTATTAACAAAACTGAATTGTAGAGAATTCTGTTTTGTACATACTGAAAATTGCAGGCAACATGTCATAAAGGTGAACATTTGTAATTTGTAAAATATATAAAAGTTTGTCCTATGTAATATAAAAAGTGTAGCATTATCAAATAATTATTTGATCACTTTGGCTTATGTTTCCTAATCCCAATATAGTCAAAATGATCAAATACTGTATATATTTTTTGTATCCTTTTGCGTTTCTATAATTATGTAATTATAACTTATTTGTAATTATATTGCAATGTAGACAAACACATGCATTGAAGTAAAATGAATGACAGTAAACAGTAAATAAAGCTTACCAATGGCACTATGAGAGAGAGAGAGAGAGAGAGAGCGAGTGTCCGAAGCAAGCCACTCGAGTCCAGTTGTTTAGGGCAGCTGCTTTCACAACATTAGATCCACTGTCGATAGTTACACACAATTGCTTCTTTTTATCTAGTTCCCAAACTACTCCCATATGTTTGAGGTAGCTCCGCGTTTTGGCACAATGTCTTCTACAATCTGCATGTCTTCACCATGGTCTTCACCGCCGCCCTCAGCCATGTTTGCTCTCTGCTCTGTTGTTGTTGTCCCTGCACGCCGCTCTGCTACACGTGCCGCGCAGATGCGTCATCAAAGTGCGCCGCACACAAACGTGTCTTCCGCTCGCCGTTTTCAGTGTTAAATGATCGTTTTCACCGGTATAAGGCATTTTCTTATCATTTAATTTACTTATACCGGTATACCGGTACAAAAAAAATATCGCCCAACCCTAATATTAAATACATATTTAGGGTTGTGGGGTTAATTACTGTACATGATAGTACAGGGAATGAATAATTTTAACAATGAAATACGTTTGTTACTGACATACAAGCTACTGACATCGCCTTAAGTACTTTACTTTGTGAAAGGCCCACAGTCACTCATGAGTCAATCCAAAGTTTAAAATTCAATGGAGACTATATTTGTCATGGTGTGGATTTATTTCTCTTTACTTATTTGTATTTGTACATTTGTTCTGTTAATTTGTCAGCCCTTAACTAATGTTATACCGATATCCCTGAGTGAAATACCTTGTGCTCTTTCCTATTGCTGTCAGTGTGTTTTTCCCTGTGTTGAGTTTGTTTTTTAGTTTGATTGTACCATGGTCTCACTTTTGTTTTAATTCCAGCTTCATTTTCTCCATATCACCCAGTCGTAATTAGGATGGCTTTCTTTTTGGTCTAAACTGTCTAATATTGCAATATTCAGGTTCACTAGGATATTTTTAGCAATAGAGCTGACTTCAAAGACGTTTCTATGCCAGCTCTAAACCTCTAAACCACCTTACAGGCTGCTAAAGCAGTGTCCCACCTTGCTTGAGGTCCTCGATGGCCCTGCGGATGCCCCTGTCGAAGGCGCGTGCGTCTGCGGGGCTCTGGAAGGTCAGGCCAAACTTCTTGTCGTTGATCCTCCAGTGGTGAAAGATGGGGGTCACCTTGTTGTAGACCACGTCAGTCTGCAGGACGCACTCCAGCACCACCTGCACAAGGTAATGCAAGTACTGTGATCAGTCATAAGAAGAGAGAACTCTCTTCTTATGAGTGCAGCAGCTGCAGGTGTTGCATTCATAGAGGGGGTCCACCGGCTCTATGGACCCCCTCAAGAGAGCTGAATTTGACAAAATAATATGGCTGATACGACTGAACTCCTCTCCGTCTGGACAGGGCCCCTATATGAACTACTATTAGTCTCAATGAGGATGACAATTTGCTGATCAAAGATGCACAAATTGCACCTTTAGTGCACTGGAGACAAAATCTCAAAATATCATTCATCTATTGTGAGCACAGTCTTGTAACGAAGCCATCAATGAGATCTGGTCACATCACTGTGGGCGACAGTGGCTCAGTTGGTAGAGCATTGGCATTAGAGCCTGAAGGTCGTGGGTTAAAGCCCACCGTAAGACCTACTTCATGACTCCCACTGATGACTGCTGTCGTGTCCTTGGGCATTGAAGACACTTACCCCCACTTTGCCTGAAGCCCCTGCTGAATGATCAAAACTCCTGTGGACTCACCCCCTGCAGGAGGAACAGTGAGGGACATGGTGCTCTGTGTACTGGGTGCAGCTCTGACTGCCACCCAGAAATGCATTAAGGGGAAGAAAATGGAAGGATGGATGGATGGTCACATCACTAATAAAGAATCACCATAACTATTTGAAACAAGCATAACAGGCCTGAGCCGGATAACTAACAGTAAACTGTGACACATTTCACAATCATTCACACTGTCAGGAAAGTCACAGCTCATGAGATTACTCCAAGTCAGGGGTCACCAAGGATGTAGCTCCAGCAGTAAGTAAGTAAGTAAGTAAGTATTTATTTATATACCGCCTTTTCACTGCAGATCTGAGTCTCAAAGCGGTTTACAATTGTTAATTTTTGGGCATTTGTCTCTCACTCCACACAGAGATGGGAGCGACGTCGCCAGTACAGGAGGCGCATGCTAGAACTATTGGACATATTTTTAGTGGTAGGGGAAACCGGAGTACCCGGAGGAAACCTACGCAGACACGGGGAGAACATGCAAACTCCACTCAGAAAGGCCCTGGTCCGACCGGGATTCGAACCCAGGACCTTCTTGCTGAGAGGCGAGAGTGCTATCCACTCAGCCACCGTGCCGCAGTCTTCTCTTCGCGCAAATATTGGGTGCCATGGACTGAGCTGTTATCTGCCTTTTACAGTAAGTATTGGCCTCAACTCAACTCAACTCAACTCAAAAACTTTATTGTCCCCAAGGGGAAATTTGTTTGCATGTGGTGGAGCAATACAAATAGCAATACAATACAATAATACGAAGATCACAGTGAGTATGGCACATAACATTGAACATTAAACATTGTTCTTATGATCGTGTACATGTGGATGGCGGTAAAAACAAATGCAGGTTTGATTTTGATGAGGGAATACTGTTTTTGATGATGTAGTACTACTTCAAATAATGTTCAATTGACATCATTGTGGAACACACAAGGGTCTACCAACCATTACCCAAAATATGGCTGCTTTAGATAAACATTACCCAATGAATAGTGATAAGGGAGACCAGAGATTGAAAACGCCATGTCCAAACCGTGAAAAAGCGTATTATCCCGCAATTGCCTCCCATAATCTGTGTAAATATGTCACAGACCACTGATCACTCCCACTCCCATGTAACTTCAGTCTGGCAATGACAGCTTTTGGATTTAGAGCAAAGTCGGGCTAATGGAACACAACTCATCTCCAAAGACCCGCTGGAAATGGTGGGGTTCTGGTTACATATGATGACAACCTTTTTGCGGAGATGTTGTTTTGGATTTAGCCTGCTGAGATGTTTCCAAAGGCTGTTATTAATGAAGCAACTGGGGCTGCCTTCTGGCCTTCCTCTCAGCAGATTATGCGAAAGGAGAGATGGTCATTATGGTCTTTGAGGTTGGTTAGAGCGGTTTTGTGTTGGAAGGAGAAGTGTGGCAATTTGATGACTCCAGAATTAAATAAATCGCAAAAGAGATCCAAAACCTACTTATTCCGGCTTGATTTTGTCATCTCAGTGAACAGATTGATAGAAACTCATGTTTCTGAGCAGCAGAGAAATACAATTATGCCTTATGTTTGTCCTATGATCTTTAATATTTCGTTTTGCTTTTTGTGTTTTTGTTCAACTTGAGCAGGTCTTTTGTACTTTGACACAGGTTGAGACAGAGACCTGAGCACGGCATGCAAGACAAGCCCGTCACTGAGCCACCACACCGGTCATCTGAGCAAGACTCATTCAGAAAGACCGGTGAGAGTGTCTGCATTAATAGGGTGACATTAAATATACATGTGCAGATCAGTCTGAGTCATCCGTGAAATTAGGACGTATTATTTTTCAAAGCGGGAAAAGGTACGGAAAATATTCACGTTCTTGAAGCCAGAACAAAAGTAAAAAAGGCACGTTTGATGTTTTGATGCTTTTACAATATTGTATGACATTACAATATTGGGAAAAAGACTGTGGAAGGACCGTGGAAGGTCAAACAGTCCTCCTCGCTCTAAAAGTTGTTTAAAAAAAGTTTGTAAACTCATTGCAGTAATAGTAATAATTAAATAATTAAAATGTGGAAAAATGAGGACACGTGCCATCAACTGTATACAGGAGTGGACTGACCGAGTGCCATAGGGTTTGCCATTATGTGGAAGAGGCTTATTGAACAAGCTACTTGGGCGGAAATGTGGAGCATTGTATATCGGGATTTACAAGGACAATATCACGGTATATGAACCAAAATAGCAGAGAGCACTAAAAATGTTTTTATAGCCCAAAATGGTGAATGAGAGAAAAAAAATTGAAATTAAGCAAGGAAAGCAAGTATCAACAGTGTTCCTTGGACTTTCTGAACAATAATAAAACATGTCCATTGATTCATGCACTTGAGGCTCAGACAGTTATAGTTTTACCTACCACCTATCCCTGCCCATGCCGACTAAAAATATGTGGAGTTAAAAACGTGTTAGATATTACTAGAACAAATTGACAATACAACAATAGCAGAACCAACAACTAGTTATAACAAATCATTGATGTTACAGTACATGTTTTTAGTGGTAGGGGAAACCGGAGCACACAGAGACACGGAGACAGAGACATGGGGAGAACATGCAAACTCCACACAAAATGCCACTTCTGGAGGTACAATCGAACCCAGGACCTTCTTGCTGTGAAGCTCTAACCACAGCGCCATTGTACCACCACTAAATGTCTTGAATGAGTGTGAAAAAATAACAATATCGTCTCATTCTTATGCATATAATAACACTATATTGATCCCCAAATAGACAAATACTCTGAAAGTTTACCGAGCGACAAATCAATATAGAAATGACTGTGGCAGAGTTATTTGGTTTTACGGTTTTCGGATTCCCAGTGTCACATAACAAGTATTTGGTAGTAGAAAGGAAGTACTCGCCAGGGTGAAAGCTATCTGCTTAGCCAGCACAGTCGTATGGGATGGGGTGTGTGGAGCTGGGGGCCAATGGTGGAACTGGTGTGTGTGTGTGTCTGGGAACGAGTGCGGAGGCGAGACTGCACGGAGCCGGATCAGGTAAGGTGAGCGTCGGGCTAGGAGGAAGTATCGGCGTGGCACTGGAGGGGGACGACACCTAATACTGAATTCCTGACACCGCTGAAGACGAGACGCAGACAAGGGAGACCAGCGCGAATGTCCAAGCGATTACGTGATCATCAGGCTTTTGGAGAGGAAGTGGGAGTCCAAAAAGTGTTTACTGGAGATAGGACGCAACTGAATTTCCACAGGATTAAACTCAAAATTGAGTCCATGAGATTGGGACAAGATGTTATTTGTATTATTAATGGAGCAAAGTTAAGACATTGGAAATTCCAAGACTGTTTCTTTGGAAGTGATGTGAAAATTCATATTTGGTACTGACCTCATCACAACAGTCTCGAAAGACTTTACAAAAAATCAAACCGTTCAAATACAGGAAATGCAATAATAACGAACATATAGGAGCCATTGGTCCATAAGGGGCACATGGCCGATGTCCATAAATGCCTTTACATTTCATTTTGACCATTTAATTTTGTACATCTGAAATTTTCAATTCACAACTTTTCACAACTAGAGCGAGCCACTTCACGCCTGCAGGTGAACTATCTGATATAGACCCATTACATGCAAAGTGAAATGCATGTAATGTCAAATCTTTCATATTCACATTCTTCCAAGATGTTTTATTTGGGTTTTTTACAAGCTGTGAACCAATTATCAATATTGAAACAAATAAGCTTTATATATCGCAGTGTGTACATATATGAATCGCAAAACATACTAAATCAACCCAAATGTGAAAATCCAAAATTGTTACAGATTACAGTGAGCTATAGATTATAGCTCACTGAATGCTTGGTTTGTGGGTACCCCTGTTTTAGGTGATACAATTTCCTCTATCCAATGTTCTTCTTGAGTCAGATCAGATGTAAAAAGCCTTCAAACAGTTCCTTTATGCTTCACAACAAGAACAAGCAAACAACTGACACCATAGAGCAGGAGCAAATAAGCCACAGCTCGAGTGAACAATAGAAAGTGGACTCCAGCCTCGGGCAAAACTTCTGCAGGAGGCCTCAGTTACAGCATATTCAATGGACATGGAGATAGCAGTAAACACAGGCATAAGGTGGAGTCGTGCAGCGCCAAGAGAGACGTGACACGCCAGCAGCACATGTCATCATCAGAGGGCTGTTCAAAGTACCAAAGTAGTAGTAAAGAAACTGATATGCATCTGAAAAAGCAATGAGACAAAAAGAATCCACAAGCAAACAAAATGTGACCAGCTTTCTTGAGCAGTTACAGAAACGATGTAGGCCTACTGTATGCCAGAAATATGTGAAACTGTGGTTACTTTAAAGACCACACATTTTAAAGCTTTTACAACGTGGTTCTCTCGTCAAGAACAGAACTTTGATCTGATCGTCTTTTCACATATATATTACTTCA